GTGTTTCCTGTGCGGCAGCACATCAATCCCGAGCTGCTGTTTCAGAACCGCACGGTGGCAACACCCAGCCACGGCGTGTGGGACATGCGGGGAAAGCAGTTCCACACGGGGGTGGAGATCAAGATGTGGGCCATCGCCTGCTTCGCCACGCAGAGACAGTGCCGCGAGGAGATTCTCAAGTAAGATTCCTTTCGCTTTAATTGGAGCTGAAATGACAAATTAACATTTTTCTTAAATAATCAACAGCTAGTTCAGTACAGTTTTTACTCTGTCTCCGGGATTTTGAGCTCAATAACTCTTGGTTTGCTGAACATTAGGATGCAAAGGAGAGGAGCCATATGCCGCTCTAGTGAGTTTGGTAGTTAGTAGTTAACTGATCTGTGATCTCATCCAGCTGTTTCTTAAAAGAAGGCAGGATATTGGCTTCAACCACATGGGTGGTTAGCTTGTTCCATACCCCCACAACCTTTTGTGTAACTAAGTGCCTCCTGCTGTCTGTTTTAAACGCACTTCCAGGTAGTTTCTGCTTGTGTCCTCAGGTTTGTGTTTTGCTATTAATTCTGAAGAATTCTGCTTGTTGTCTGATTTTAAATCAAAGTGCACAATGGACAAACATCATTATCATCATTTTCTTTATACTTTTCCCTGAGTTATTCATTCTTTCTCTGTGTGTGTGCAGGGGTTTCACAGACCAGCTGCGCAAGATCTCGAAGGACGCGGGGATGCCCATCCAGGGCCAGCCGTGCTTCTGTAAATACGCGCAGGGCGCAGACAGCGTGGAGCCCATGTTCCGCCACTTGAAGAACACCTATTCAGGCCTGCAGCTCATCATCGTCATTCTCCCAGGAAAGACTCCAGTCTACGGTACGACTGGCTTTGGCCACGTGTCTGTTTCTCCGTCTCGCTGCCCAGCTCGGTCTCTGTTCCACTCTGTGCTGCTCGTGCTCTTGCTGGCCGCTGCCTCTCTCCTCACTCTCTGCCCCTCGCTGTCTCTGTCTCCAGCGGAGGTGAAGCGGGTGGGAGACACTCTGCTGGGAATGGCCACCCAGTGTGTCCAGGTGAAGAACGTGGTGAAGACCTCCCCTCAGACCCTCTCCAACCTCTGCCTCAAAATCAACGTCAAGCTGGGTGGCATCAACAACATCCTGGTGCCCCATCAGCGGTGAGAGACCTGGGGGGTCGTGGGGTCACGTGGGTGTGTGAGGGGGCAGGGGGTTCTTAGGTGTGTGTGAGGGGGCAGGGGGTTCTTAGGTGTGTGTGAGGGGGCAGGGGGTTGATGGGTGTGTGTGAGAGGGCAGGGGGTTCTTGAGCGTGTGTGAGGGGGCAGGGGGTATGTGTGTCCCGGTGCCCCTTCAGCGGTGAGAGACCCAGGGGGTCGTGGGGTCACGGGTGTGTGTGACAGGCCCTGTGGGGTCGTGGGTGTGCATGAGAGGCCTGGGGGGTCTCCGGTCCTCAAATGCCTGGACAGAACTCCCCCAGAGGAGGGGTTGAAGGGCTCAGGGAGTCTCTTGGTCTGGTGTGTGCTGCAGAAGATCCAGAGGTGTGCATGCACAGTTATTGATATGAGATCAGTACAATCTGCAGTAGTCTGTAGTTCCTCACTGTGAGCAGCCTTGTCTGCTTATCTCAGTCAGTGACTCTGGAAAACTAGAGCAGATTGAGGAGAAGACCTGGGAACGAGAGTGTGATAACTCCTCTTCCTGCTGTGTGAACGGAATCTGTAGGGCAGTGCGTTTTGACAGCAGGTCCTGTGTTTGCGCTGACTAATCTCTCTGTAGTCGGGCTTCGTTTGAAAGCTGCAGGGCTTCGATAAACAAAATGTGTTTCCCTGTGTCGAGGTCAGGTGTCTTGGGGGGAGGCTATTTTGTCTAGTTCTTGACGGACTCTTTCTCTCTCTCTACCCGACCTGCTCTCTCCCTCAGCCCCTCCGTGTTCCAGCAGCCGGTGATCTTCCTGGGGGCGGATGTGACGCACCCCCCTGCAGGGGACGGGAAGAAGCCCTCCATCGCAGCAGTAAGTCGAGTCCCCCGTCCCTCCTTATGTCTCTCCTCGCTTCCTGGCTTGTGCTCTGTGCGGAGGCAGGAAGTGGAGAGGGGGACTGCAGTGCCCTAAAGCACGGCGGTAGAGGACTGATCCAGGGTGCAGCCTTGGTTGCTGACTCTGGTCTTTCTTGCCTCGCAGGTGGTGGGCAGTATGGACGCCCACCCCAGCCGGTACTGTGCCACAGTGCGAGTTCAGCGGCCTCGACAGGAGATTATTCAGGACCTGGCCTCCATGGTTCGGGAGCTGCTGATCCAGTTCTACAAGTCGACTCGCTACAAACCCACCCGGATCATCTTCTATCGGGACGGGGTGTCAGAGGGACAGTTTAGACAGGTCAGTCTGGGATCACGTTTCCAGCTCTGTCTTCTTTTTGACAGCTGCTTACTTGTTTTTATCTCCTCTGACATCTCCTTCTGTAATTTCCCTCACGGGTCAATAAAGGATCTATCTATTTTAAACTCTGGCAAGATCAGGGCTCCATTCAGGGGCGGTCTGTCTCTCTGTGTGGTGATCCTGGCACTTCCATCTTGATCAAGGGTCCACGTCACTTCTTCCTCTCTCTCCCCCTGTGTCTTGCCCGGTCACTGGCAGGTGCTGTACTACGAGCTGCTGGCTATCAGAGAGGCCTGCATCAGCCTGGAGAAGGAATACCAGCCTGGCATCACCTACATCGTGGTGCAGAAGAGACACCACACCCGGCTCTTCTGTGCTGACCGCAACGAGAGGGTCAGTCTTGTTGCTTTGCAAGTGCTGAAGCAGTATAGTTACATTTTTAGCAATACTTTTATGCTACCTTTTGAAACACTTGCTGTGTTGTAGTAACTAGTGTTTTAAATTTTCGATGATGGTTTGTGTCCAGTAAGGCTGGTTATTGTATGCAGGCCATGTTGCCTGTCTCTCCATTTTGGGGTTTTTCATTAAGAATGTTGTTTGCAAGTGTGTGGAATATAGTTTTGCAGGAGCAGTCGGTAACAGTCAGGTTAGGGTTAGTGACGCCGTCCTTGTGTCTGACAGGTGGGGCGAAGCGGAAACATTCCTGCTGGAACGACTGTGGACACGGACATCACGCATCCCTACGAGTTCGACTTTTACCTCTGCAGCCATGCTGGAATACAGGTACCTCTCCGCGGCTGCGCGGCTGGAAACGGACCACTCAGCCCTGGGCGCCGCCGTTCCGCTGCGTCCTTACAGAGCTGCTTTGAGGAAGTGTTGCGCTGCCTCGCCTGCGATGCTGAGGGTTGCTCTGCACGCCCTGCTGACAGTATTCTGAGCTGTGTCACAGCCGAATAATGTGCCTCCTCTCCGCAGGGCACCAGCCGCCCCTCCCACTACCACGTCCTGTGGGATGACAACTGCTTCACCGCCGACGAGTTCCAGCTGCTCACCTACCAGCTGTGCCACACCTATGTGCGCTGCACGCGCTCCGTCTCCATCCCTGCGCCCGCCTACTATGCGCACCTGGTGGCGTTCCGCGCCCGCTACCACCTGGTGGACAAGGAGCACGACAGGTGAGAGGGGGGAGCAGCCCAGCGATGTGTCCTTCAGTCTCAGTGTAGCGCTCTGTTCCCTAACCGATCTCTCTCCCCCTGCAGTGCGGAGGGCAGCCACGTGTCTGGGCAGAGCAACGGCCGGGACCCCCAGGCCCTGGCCAAGGCCGTGCAGATTCACCATGACACCTTACGCACCATGTACTTCGCCTGAGCCGAGCCCCAAGCCGAGCCACACAGCCTGCGTTTCCAGGGGGGTCAGTTTACGGGGCGCACCTTCCAGTGGAACCGTACCCGACACTGTGCAGACGGAGGAGCCCCTGGGCTGGCCGGAGGATGCGTTGCTGCTTTTTAAAAAGGAACCCGGCACTCTTATGCAATATGAAGCCAGCCAACCGCTTTCAGCCCTCCCCTGCCCCTCTGTCTGTCTGTCTGCAGTGGGAGGCGCTTCTCTCGTCCGTTTAATTTGTTTTTAGTCCCTGTTTTCATCATGTTTTTACCTCAACTTTTATGGCAGCACTTTTTTTGGTTTAAGTTCAGAAGGAAAAGGAAGCTGGTGCTCTCCTCCCAGCCGGCCGAGAGGAGCTGTGTCCGGCCCTGGCTGCAGGAGCTGACTGGTGTTCAGACGTGTTCAGCTGTGTTCGCCGCTGCCAGATACAAACACGGACCTGCCAAACCCGGCGTCGAGCACCGCCTGTGCCCGTGGATTTTCACAACGCTATCTGCTCCCTAGGATCAGCCCAGAGCACAAGTTTCCTTTTTCTCTTCTTGTTTTGTAGCCAGTGGTGACTTACTAGAAGTGAGAGTGTCAGACAACTGGTTCTGCACTCTTTCATTTCCACCAAATAATTTTAGATGTTATTGTGAGCACAGTGCCACCCACAGGCGACAAGGCGTCAGTGCTCCTGAGGAGAGCCGCTGAAGCCTGCCTGCTTAGGGAATCGAGGCCGAAGAAGCTTCAGCAGGTTGGTGGTGATCAGCAGGTCATCCGCATGAGGAGGAGTGCACAGTAATTTTCAGTACTTTCAGTAATAATAGCAGCCTGGGGCCATAGTCTGGGTCCCCTTGGTCTGTAAGCTTTCATTCAGAACTTTGCAATGTGATTGTTTTTTTAATGTTTGTCATTTAGATTATTGTTTTGTTTTTCCTCTTTGTATTTATTAGAATAATTAAGCCTAATTAATTTAATATTAGTGGAGTCAATAGAGCAGCATTCTTTTTTCTGTTTGTTTGTCAGAGTGTGGGTATGGCTGTCCAGTGTTTCTGGCTGTAAACTGACATGATGTTGTTTCTATAGTGCAATAAGGCATTTTGCAAGAACAGGCTTTATCCAGGAAGGGCTTTGGTTGGACACCTCTGTCCAGGGCAGAGCCCTGACTGGTCAACACTGTTTTTGTTTTTCACTAGTGCAGTGGCAGGATTTCTCTTCTTACAGGAAAGCGAGCACTCAGTTTGAAATTTTGCCCATTCTGTTTCAAGGCACTAAGTTGTAGGAAGCCACAGTATAGTTTCACAGCACTTTTGGAGCCCTTCTTCATGCGCTGAAGAGAGTTCAGGGGCTTCCTCTCCCTGTGGAGACATGATGCTCAGACCTCTGTACCTCTCCATGATGGAGGAATTCAAGTGCCTGCTTTGTAGAGTGTGACAAACAGCTGGGGCGCGGTGGAGATTTTTCATTGATATTCTGAGATATTGAAACCCGAGTGAAGGGCTGGGGTGACTTGTCTTCATTTAATGTTTAGAGACAACACTCAAAACAGAGCCTTGGCTATAACTGGTGAAGGAAAAGCAGAGATTTGTAACTTATTTTTCTTTACCGTTTTCATCCCGCACTGAGTCAGACGCCCTGCTGCGGTTTGTGTGCTGATCGCAGAAAGGCTTTGCTTCTTTCCAGCCCTGCTGTGTCCTGGCTCACAGTGGCACACAGGCTGTGCCAGCTGGGCCCCCTGGCACAGTGCGGGTCTGGACAGCAGAGTTAGCCAGCAGCGTCAGGTGCCTTCATTGCTGCCTCTGTGAGAAAGTGCTTCTTCATGCCTTTGCATAGTGGCAGCATGTAGAGTGTGGAGTCTGAGGCATTTTTCACAGCCACGTAAAACTGACTTAGCTGCTATTTTATTTATATATTTGTATGTGCACGTATAAATTAAGAAAATAAGAGTGAGACAATTTACTGCACTAAAAGATGCAAATGTCAGACCGGACACAGGACTGGTGCTAGGAGGTGGGGCAGACCCGTCCTGCAGGAGGTGGGAGCCAGGGAGAGGTGGACAGAACCCCGCTGTTTGCAGGAACTCTGCTCCTCCTCCGTTAGACAGACAGACATGACAGACCTCATGGGGTACTGTGGGGGGGTGGGCGGGTTTACATTACATTCAAAGATTAAAATGCCAGTGAGAATCTTTACTAAGGTACCGTAACGCACTCCACTCCAGTGGCAGAACGGCCAACAAGAAGAGGCTCGTGTTCGTGGCGCGGTGCCACTGCGCAGCAGGGTGTAGTGTGGCGCGGGTGACAGGACCGGTGGCCAGGAGCTGTTAGAAATGTACTGAGAGCCCTGTGCGCTGCTGCCTCAAGTGCAATGCGTTAAAATGAAGCAGTTTCATTTTAGTCAATTGTTTAACCAGAGTGGAATATATTTGTATATTTTACATGATGTAATGCACACCACTTATTTTTGCTAACAAATTTAAAGAAATCAAGATATAAATAATGCAATAGACTGTTTTGATGTATTTTGTGGAAGTAAAATTTCTGTTTTGGAATTGCATGTGGCAGAGGGAGGCGTTTGCAGTCACTGCTGCTGAGTCCAGACTGTTACCGCAGGGCTGGGAGTCCGGCTCTGTCGTGCGCCTTGTGGACGTCTCTCGCTCTGCGTTCCCCTCCAGGCCCCAGCCGCGCTGCTGGAGTGCTGATCAGGTCGTAAGAAGGCATTTCCTTAAGCAGAACCAGTCAAGCTGTTGTTGCTTCTCCAGTGCTGGGCAGTTCAGAGCCAGAACAGAAACTGAAGAGATGGACAGGCTGAGCTTTGAGTGCTGGTCCCATCTGTTGCTTATTAGGGGATGCATCTCTGACATTTTCAGTTCAACAAATTTCTGCACTGGTAGCTCATGTTCTACCAATAGCTCTCTCCTTACAATGTCACTTCGCGTGACGCTGTAAGGGATAAAGCTTTTCAGTGAACGGCCCGCTACAGTCTCTGTGCCCAGCACACACTTTTCAGGCTCCCCGTGCCGCTTGAGGCTTGTGCTCGACGGGGGTGTGACGGAAGAGGTGATGCGATTGTATCTCCGGGCACTACGGAGGCGTTGAGCCAGCATGGGTGACGCAACAATGCAGTTTCATCCCCAGCTGAGACCCAAAAACTGTTGAGAACTGACTGGAGGGACTGGGCTCCTTTAGGATGACTTCAGATTTGAGTGCTTTGTGAGCTAAAGGTGACACATGTCTTTTTTTTCTTCTGGCATCCAGGGGTTTTCCTTTGGCAGAGCAGTCCACAGAAAGTGCCTTTCCAGAAGATGGTGCTGTAGACATCCGATATTAATCTTATTTTCCAAATGTCAAGAGGCTGAAAGACACGATACAAACACATTTACAGAAATACACTAACATACACACAAAACATATTTTCTGTAGATTAGCATTTGTAAATGCCAAGAACGCGACAGTATCGCTGAGCTGTGCTGCGGCGGGTTTGCAGGAGTTTGGACCAAGAGCTGTGGGGGACGGGCGGAGAGCGTGGCAGCTCACCTGACACAGTCTGGCCCGGAGCAGCGGGCAGCTGGGCTCCGAGCGAGAGAGAGACCAGAGCAATAGTAGCAGAAGGAAAGCTAGGCGCTTGTAGCGTGTGACGCGTGTGTGTGGGGAAAGGACTGCGGGTGTCTGTGGTGCACTCTGACTGCGGGCACGACACAAGCAGAATGTAGCAGCAGCTTCCAGAAAGTGCTCCACACTTCGGTTAGGTTAGGACTGCTTGGCCTTGGATCTGAAAATGTCCAGGAAGATTGGTTTTCTCTCTAATAAAACTCTTAGCTCCCCTGTATTAACAAGCTGTCTTTAGAATATTTTTTAACGCCAAGGCCGGTCTTTCTGGGACCGGTCCCAGGGTACTGCCTGTGGGTCCGCCCACAAGCTGCGCTGTGTTGGGTGAGTGCCCTTCGCCCTCGAGTGATGGTATAGATATTTAAACACTGCACCTCAGTAACCTTGGTATGCTGCATATTGTACTAAAAAAAGAACAGTAAATATTGCTTTGGTTAAAGTATAATGCGCTTGATAATGCCTGATGAATATCATTATTTTAGATTAAGTATAATAATAAATATTGTCTTAATAACACTTATCTGACTTCGAAACTTGTCCTAAGATGAGCCTTTATTTTTTTGTCATTTTATTTTTGCATTATTGTTGTTTTCTTAGTGTATTTATTGCACACGTCTGTGTGCTGGAGTTTCTTTGAGTTCAGTTGTGGTGGAGGGGCTGGCCTCCCGTGAGGCACCTGTCCAGCAGGGGGCGCCCTTCATGCTGGGCTGGGCCGGCTGTGCCCTTGCAGGCTCAGTGAGGAGCCTGGAGGAACAGGACGCTTCCCCACGTACAAGCACAAGAACTGGAAGGTGTCGCTGGCTGTGAGCTGCCGAGGGTGTGTGAGTGCTGTGCAGTACTCTGTCAGCAGGGCGGCGCTAGCTAGAGATACAGCTGCTTTCTTTTCACATGCCTGTGTTGGCTTGAAGGTGGGCACTTGTGCTGTTGGAGATCTGGCAAGGTGCTGTCTGTGAGGACACACACTAGAGAGGGGCAGGAGGTGATGTAGATAATTTCCCAGATAGCCTTGTCACATGGTCTCTGTGTGAAACAGCTGTCTGGTTGACAGGCGGAGAGCACAAGTCTGTGACTGCTGGCTGGCTGTGCTCGGAGCGGATCTGGGGGCGCTGGCAGTGATCGGTGAGCCCTCTGGCCTGCTGCCTGTCATAGAGGCGCAGATACAGCATCACTGCACCGCCCAGTCCACACACTCTGTGTACACCAGCGCCTTCAGCAAAACTCATTCCGCTCAGACATGAGCCTCAGCCTTAATGGTTTTATGCGTGTATTTGTGTTTTACACTCGAGGTGCTGGTGGGGCAGTCTTCACTGACTCGCTGGCCTTTTCTTTAACCACTAATCCAGCTAGTTAGACTACAGATGTGTAAATACTTAACCTGTTAACAGTCACGCCTGCTCCAGTTCTGGAGTGCCAGACTGACATCTTTTCATCACTAATAAAAGTCAGATTATTAGGGTTTATATATTAGAGAGACCTGTGCCTGTATTATGAGGATAGTATTGTCTTGAACCCTGTCCTACTATGCTAATCTTATAGTCCTTCTGTTATTGAGTTGCTCTTTTATGTCTTGAGAGTGAAAGAATTGCATGGGGTATGGAGTTATTTTCTTAGCAGATCTCATCATATAAACTGTTTTTTTTAAATCAGTGTTATTTTAGGTTATTCTCATTAATTTTGAATAAGTTTGTTAGGCACAGTCTAACAGCATTGCAATAAGAAGTGATTTCTGGTGGTGAGATGCCTCCCTGGGCTCACCCTTAAAGTGTGCTCCATCAGCCTCTGGTGGAGAAACTAACTCCTTCCTGAAGACGGACAGACTCCCGTAGGTGCAGGTCTGTGTCCCAGGTGCCAGGCTCAGATGGGTCTTACCGTTGGGCTCTGGGTGCAATGTGTGAGGTTGAGAGTGAGCTTACAAGCAGCCAGCAGGGCTTGTAACTACTGAAGCTCATGTCAGTGGAGAGAAATAGATGTGAGTCAAATGGTTTTGTGGTTTGGAAGTGGAGAGCGGTCTGGGATGTGCAGAACTGAATCGAGGGATTACTCTGAACACACAGCCTCTTTAGTTTAAAGCTCCCTGTTAATCATAGAGTTTCCACTTTCAGACAGTGAATAGCTGCCGTAATGGTGTGAATGACCATTCCCTGCACGTGGTTCAGGTGGCACTGATGGCCTATTGGCAGCTGCTGCAGCTCCTGAGAGCTCGCTGCTGCTTCTCAATCGCGCTCCTAGTCCCCCAGGTCCCACAGCAGCACTGGGGCCCTCCGGCAGCCCTGTGCCTCTCTGTAGTTTCGTTCACGATGACTACTACTCTTACAAGCCTTGCTATACAGGGAATTGTGAAATTAATCTTTGAGTGAGATCTGTCTGGTACCGATATAATCTTAGTTTAATTAGCTTATTAACATTCAAAATTTCAAGTAGTTTTTTTTGGGCCCTAAATCCCTCTGAGGATGTTCATCTCTAAATTAGAGTTTGTAGTGTACTTTATCCCTTTTGTTTCCTTACTTTGTGGACTACACTAACGATACGTTTCTGAAATGAGTATTTAAAGTTGCATTTGGTTGAGATGTACAAACATGGCTGTCTCAGTGGTGACATGCTCATCGCGGGTGTCCTGGAGTCGATGCCCTCTCTCGTGGGGACTGGTCAGGCCCAGGGGCATCATGGGAGCTTGCAGTGTCAGATTGGCATTCCTCTGTACCTGCCATTGGTCTGAACTCGGGGAAGAGTTCATTTTCATCACAGGGCTCCCATTACTGTGGTGCATCACACCGGAATTTCCTTAGAAGCTGAAGTAAGAATGTAAGGAAGGTAACAAGGGATAAGAGGCCATTCGACCCCTCCAGCCTGTTTGACAGCCAGTTCATCCAAGGATCTCATCCAGCTGTTTCTTGAGAGAAGCCAGGGTATCGTTCTTGACAAACCTTTACAATAACTGAAATAATAAAATAACTTAATGAAAAACAGGTTTTGTGTCTCCCTTTGGTTTGAAGGTTTACAAATGTGCTTTTGCTAAAACAATGCCAGTGATGAAGCCGACAGGGATGAGTAAAGTTTTTTCTGAGATCTTGGAGTGGCAGGGCTGCTTTCAGGAGAGCAGGCTGACTTGCACTTTGCTCTGTGCATACATGTCAGAGATGTCAGCAGGGCCTGTCTGTTTATCAGCTCAGCATCTCTGGACAGAGCTGACCCATGGTCCCCTCTGCGTGTCTGTGGACAGCGGCGGCTGACCCGCGGTCCCCTCTGTGTCTCAGACATTACAGAGAAATGAGTTATACAGCTACTGCTCTCTCTGGAAACTGCACTGCTGCCCAGTGGGTGTTTGAGCAACACATTTCTTGCCTTGGAGCCACAGGGCTCTGTACCCCTTCTTACTCTGTACATTGCAAGGATTCTCTGTTGTACCAACAGGTCTTTTTTAATGTCTTTATTTTATTGTAATATTTTAGTTTTATTGCCTTTAGTGTTGCTTTGCTTCAGTTTGAAGTGTAACTTTCACTAATACTTGCAATAAAAAGCTTTGCTTTAATATCTTTGTTGTTACTGATTGCTTCAGAAACATCGATAGGCGTCGGAAGATTCTGAGGACACGCAGCTAAATGCTTTTTGTTAAAACTGGATCCCACAGCAAGACACAAAGATCGACAAATCCATTATTTTCAAAGAAGACAACTTCAAGGTGGAAATCCTTATTGAATACAGGCTCTCACTGAGCAAGCTGGACAGCAACACAAAGCTCCTAAAAGTAACTCTAGTCATATCGCCGTTCTTATTGTTCATAGCAATGGAAGTTTCACTACGCACGTGGATATTCTATGAAATAGCTCTGTATAAAGGATCTTTGCTTAATGTACTTTAATACATTGAATTCTGGCTCTCAATGCCAAGACGTTTTTTGTGTGCTTTTACACTCACTGTACGGTTTGTCGAAAATAATGGACAAACGGCTTTGAAGAGAGAGTCAGGTAGCAGCGTAGGACACTCAACACCGGCCCAGCCCTATCGAGTCAGGCCCGTCGGCATCGCGTTGCACTGTTGTGTTAGCAGTTGCTATGGAGTTGTAATTATTAAGCAGCCGGCCTTGTTGGTCGGCTCCCGTCGTCCGTGTTACCTGGAGACAGACCGCTTGCTCGGCGACTCGCAGACCGCAGCAGCGAGTCGAACGCGGACGCAGGGGTTCTAGAACTTCAGGTAAGTTTTTCCTGCGCGAATTCAGCAGCACCTGACGCGTGTTGAGCGCGTTTAGTTTGTCTGTGTTCTTGGATTCCGGTATTGTACTGAGAGCTGTAATAAATGTGTACAGCAGTTACATATGTACGCAGCTCTAATTGCTCTAAGTAATTTATTTTATTAATATAACTATTATAGCGGGAAAGAAAATGCCATACAGTTCACTGACTTGAAGGGTTTTACAGAAGAAGCCTGCGGAGAGGCGCATAGGCACCTAGTGTACTCCACTCGGGGCGCTACACCCAGGAGACACCTTGGAGGGCTCCCTTCTAGCAACACCTCTGACGCGCAGGCAAGATGCGGAGGTGGAGATTTTTTTGTGAAGTTGATGGCTACCGGCGAATAACAAAAGGATTGAGAGAAAACTGCTCACTTCTCAAACTCGCCAGAAGAAAGCCCTGAAAAAAGTAGCAATCCATCATCAGGCGAGGAGAAAGTAAGGAGGACCGTAGGATGATCTGTACAAGGCAACATCTTTTTAATGTGTGGGGTGGTGCCGACAGGTGTCCCAGTCGCTTACTCATGGCATCATATACTGTAGGTACACTCCTGACAGAATACAGTGACATGGATTTATTTCCGTGTCCATGTGTACAAACAGTTTGGCGAACTTTACAGGGTAAAACAAAACAAAAATCAACGATTGAACATAGAAGAAACACCAATTTCACCTGCGAAATGGGACATGTCATGTTTTTAAGTATTTGAAAGAGGGAATATTTCGTCTCCCTGACGTCATTATTAATAAAATACTTTCAAGATGACGTATGTCGCGTCTCAGACATTACTACGCAAGGTGCAAGTCTCATGTCCCGGTCGTGTCCTCGCAGCCTCTGTATCCCAAACTCTCGGGAACAACAACAGGCAGATCTGGCATTGTCTGATTGTGCTCGTAGTCGGAGACGAGAGACGAGAGACGAGTAAACATTTTCAGCTTATAACAGAAATAGTGTTTCAGCTGGTGCTGAACTTGCTTTTTCACTGCACACAGAGTTGTGTTAATATGCTGACTCACCTTTACATGTTCTGCTAAACTTAATCAGTTTTTTCATGACCTAACAAATTATGAGGTTCAAAAGCAATTTTTAATTACTTGGTGTTACTACAGCCTTCCTAGTGAATGTTGCTCTAGTGAACAGAAAGACACTGACATGCCCCAGAATGGGACACCCACACTGATGAGAATTTTACAGTATTCATTAGCGTGGACTCCGTTGTTCCTGCGTGTAAATGTCGCGGTTCCGCGCGGGCTCGTGCCCTCCGCCGCTCCACGCAGGCCGTTTCGTCCCGCAACACCTGGGGCTCGAACCGGGGTCTCCGGCGTAACGCAACAGGGAACCAGCCGCGTGAGCCGTCGGCTAAGGTCCCTGCTAGGCGCAGGGGGCAGGATGACGTCACCGTGTCCGAACTAGCTCCGCTACATGAGCACATGTGATTCATTCTCCAATCAGGGCTGAAAAAGACTCATTTTGAAGACACAGCAGGTAGGAACCTTAGCAATCTAGAGAGTGGGGTACACTGGCGCTGGAGACGGGGACAGCTCCCAGCTCTGGGAGAAGGCTGCGCCGTCACCTGTCTTGTGTTCTGGGCAGAGATGGCCACCCTGAGTGCGAAGCCCGGCCAGCGGCTCAGCGTGTCCGACTGGCAGAGTGGGAGCCAGCTGCTCTCCAGCACAGCTGAACACCTCCGACTCCAGTCACAGCAGATCCGCCAGGAGGGACGAGCACTGCGCAATGAGACCACTGTTCAGGTACTTAGAGGCTACTGCTGTGCTCAGTGAATAATGTTTCCTGGCTGTGAAAAGCCATTTAGTCATCTTGGAACAGGGGCTGGCTACTGGTAAGATTATTCCAGATTCTGAACTGCTGCAGATCAGGCTGTTCCAGACTCCTGCTACTCTTTGGGTAAAGAAATTCCTGAGTCTTGGTTTTGAATGCAACTCTGCTTTTGTTTTACAGTCTGAAGAAGTTGGCTGGGTTCACTTTGTTGAACCCTTTGAAAATGTGAAAAATCCTTTTGGTTCTTGTATTATACTCTTTCAAAAATTTAGTTCCTCCAGCCTGTCAGTGTAGGACATTACTTAATGCCTCGAAAGTATCTGGTTGCTCTTTCCCAGACTGATTGCAGAGCAGCAATCTCTTTTTTTATAAAATTGAGTCAATATTCCAAATGAGGCCTTACTAGTGCATTATACAATTTTAACATAACATCCCTTGATTTTTAAAAAAGTTAATCTTTTACCTACAGTATATAATGTTAATAAAATTCACTAAAATTGTACATGGATTTGGACTTTCATTTAGAATTTGTACGAGATGCTAAGTGAAGATATTAGAGAAGATAAAATACAAAATAAACATAACTCCTGAGTAACAGAAATGTTTTTTGGTGGCTGTGGGGTGACTCTTCCAGGCTGAGATCTGTACCCCACAGTGTGGTTTGTGCAGAGGGCCAGCTGGTGTCAGGATGCTCAGTGCACCCTGGGGGGATGTTATTCACAAGTGCACTCAACCTACCAAAGGTCCTGCAGTGGCAAAGAGCCGAGTGTATTTGACTCTTGATACCAGTGTGTTTTTTTTCTAAGATGTCTGTTATTTAACTTGTTGTTGTTGCTGCCGCTGTTCTGTGTTTATGTTTTTGGTGTTTCCTTAATGTCTTTGTGTTGGAGCACACATGCAAAAAAGCATTTCATTGCAGTCGTGCACACAACAGTAAACCGAAGTGAAATGTGTGCAGCTCTGGCTTCCTTTCCCTAACCTGTTCCTTCACTGTCTCTCAGACACGCTGGGACGAGCAGGACAGCCAGCGACGCCTGACAGAGAGGGTTCAGGATGTGTCACGCCTGAAGGAGGCGCTGGAGCTCTGTCTTCAGGATGCAGACACAGAGATAGAGGCACTTTCTGCAGTGAGCTATCCAGATCTCTTTGCAGTTTTGCATAAGAAACAGTCTCTTTACCAAGAGAGTTATTTTCCATGAATGAGTTGTCAGACAGGTTAATTTCATTCTGAGAAGTAAATTATTTTATTATGTATGTATGTTCTCTTTCTTTAATTAAAACATATTAAAATGCCAGCTGTATTTTTCACTCACATTAGTAAGTACTTTTGAGTTGGCCAATCTAAGATATCTAAGGCAATATAGTAGAGTCATTCTTGTGTTGAATGGGTAATAGTCATCGAATAATTATTAAATCACTTTCATTTTCATAAGTAGACAAAATGTTTCTGTAAACTTCTGAAGTCATTCCGCTGCTGCCATCATTAATTACATCAATGACGTGGCTGCCCAGGCTGTGACACTATCTGACCTTCTTCTCATCTGTCCATAGATCAGTTTCATAACTCTCATGTCTGTTCTTCTGACCATTCCTATCTTTTCTGTTCATGGTGCCGAAGAGGTTTACAATGTGTGCAAATGGGGGGTTTGTTTATTTGACTGGGATAGAATTGATTATTTGATTAAAAATAAAATCCTTAGGACTTACCTGTCAGTTTTTTCATGATAAATTATTATTACCTTGCTGTCCCATTACTTTCGGAGGGTGCTGTATGTAGATGTCTGAGGAATCTCAGTGCGGCCCAGAGCAGAAACCTTCCCCTCTACTTGCTTTGTGCACATCAGAGCAGCAGCGTCATTGTGATCACTGTTAGAGTCAATGACGGCTCACTGGCTGTGTGCCAATCACAACGTTCTCCCCAGGTGAAAGGTGACACTGAGAGCTTGCTGGCTGCGATGACCCTTCCTCTTGATGCTGCAGTGGAGTGCCTGACCCTGAGAGAGGGTCGCCGTGGTGATGACCTGGTGAGGGATGCGGTGGAGGTGGAGCTGAAGAAGGAGGTGGAGGTGATTGGTGGAGTCCAGCGTGCCCTGCAGCAGCGTGTCAGTCAAGCCTTTGAGCAAATCTGGTGAGAGAAGGGGAAGGGTGAAGGCGTGATGTGTTTGGAACACAAGAGACTGAATTAGAGAAATAGTCACAAATATAATTTATATTGTCTAATTAGTTTACATTGTTTAATTTACATTTCATGTTGAATTCACTATTATAATGTTACTGTTACAATTCAATAACAGTTATAAGGTTTCTCTGTGCAGTTTACTGCAGGAAGCACGGCAGCAGCTGGTCTTTGACTTACAGAACAAATCCGAGGCCCTGGGGGTGGACCAGACCTGCCTGTCACTCACTGTGACATCACCACTCATCTCTCTGAAGCCTAACCCCTCACGTGTTCCCAATGGGTAAGCCCCAGCATACAGGCCCACACTTGCTCCTGTCCTACTGCTGTGCACATTCACCACACAGCCCTGCCTGTGCTCACAATCAGTGTTCTGACAGCTTCCTGAGCCATTTCAATGAAGAAAAATAAAAGCAGACATGTGTAGTGCCACGTATTGGATACTTTGTGAGACTGATTTGAGAGGTATTGCACAGCTATGTTAACAGTGTCACCAACTGACTGGTTTGACCCTGACATACTGTATTAAGACCTGTATGAGGTGGTTGCATTGAAGTTGACCATTGTTCTCTGTTGCAGTTCCACATCGCCCCAGCAGTGGGAGCAGTTCAGCCAATACAATCGGAGTCGCGCCCAGGAGGAGATGAAGACCTCTCTGCAGCTGCGGGAGGCTATGCGGGTCACAATTTCTCAGGTCAGGGGGTGTCTGGGATGGAGACAAGGATCTCGTGTTTGTGTGTCACACCTGAGCCAGGAGGAAGGCATGTGTCAGGATATTCCTGTGTACGATTGCCTGGGTGAGGCTGACCCCGGGAGTGCAGCGGTCCAGAGCTTCAGTGTTTTTAAAATATGGAGAAGCTTTAAACCCACACTCACCTCTACTGGGTCAACTGTTTGAAAAAATGTCAGCTGAAACATTGACCTGGTCTCCATTAATGAGAGCATCACTGCAACCTCTTTTCTGTCGATGACTCTAACACTTATTCATACTTCTGACAATGACACCAGCGCCTAGGAGGTCAAAGGAGCCTCAGTGGCTCCCAACCAATTGATCCCAGTTAGTGACACAAATACCAGCATATTGAACCAGCACTGTGCTCTTTGCACCTTTTTACTGGTGTAGCACTTGGGAACCCTGAATGTAGTGCAGCTTGTTGGTGCCCCAGACAGAAAGATCTCTTGTCTGTTGGCCATAGTATTTCCTTTCCCTGTGTCTCCTTTCTCACAGACTCAGAATGAGCTGGAAGCCCAGCGTGTCGCCACGGATTTTGCCCTCCGGAAACGCAGCCATGAGCTGGAACGAGCCAGAGAGGAGCTGCTTTGGCAGCAGAGGCTTGTGAGTGGGGTGTCTTCTGCTATCCATTCAGACAGCTGGGCATAGGGCCTCATCCAGAATATAATAGGGAAAAATATCTGAGCACATTAAAATTTCTATTTGAATTTGTTATAGTCCAGCATACCTGCTTTGCATTTAGTTTAAAATGTACTATTATCTTTTTAGAAGATTTTAAAAATATTTACATCACCTATAATGTCTTTTTTTCTTAGTACAGAGGAGTGTGTTTTAGGGCTACTCTGAGTTGGCTATTGGCTGTTCTTATTGAGAGGAGAACTGCAAGGCTATTTTTATATTTCAGGGTTAGAAAGAACCAGCATTGATGAGTAAATTTCAAACCACAATAACAGTAAAATGTACGAAACAAAATAGACGAAATGTCCAGATATGTTCAGGGCCATATTCCGAGATTCAGAATGAGGCAACAAATATTCTGGTGAGGTGATGTGGCCCTGTGACTGCATTGTAAAGAAGCAGGCTTGTGAATACTTCTTTAGACCAATAGAATAAATTGCTCTTAATTTCGAGATGGTCTTTCCGACAGACACTACTTACTTGTTAACTCTGCATGCAGATCACGTTGGAACATTTGTGTGGTGAAATGTCTGCTGCACAACCTGTACTTATTCACTCTTACATCACGTTACAGTGACTAGTGAGCAGGAAGGGCTGCTTTATGTCGCAATTCTTTGAAACTCGAATGTGAGTTTGTGACGACATGGCTACTTGCAGTACTTTCACAAAGTTCCTGATTTTGTGCTTCATTTCAAATTTGTAATTTTTTTTCTAGAATGTGAATTGATTTATTTTGTTGCCAAGATTTAATAACCACTCTGAAAAACGGACTGCAGCTCCCCTCTTAGTCTTGCAGTAAGAGAACCTGAGCTGCATGCTGTTGGCTGTAACTCAAGAACATTAATACATTTCATTCCCTTTTTCTCAAGGTTTCATCATTCATAGACTGCATATACTTAGATTTTCCATAGATCTATTCCTAGTCTCTGTCTTCTTGGCCATACAGTATGTAGTGAATAGAGCCATATACAACCCAGTGTGAGCTGAGCCGGGGAGGGTGACTGTGTGCTCTCTCCTGCTCCTGTCTAGACCCAGAAGGAGGCTCAGGAGCTGGAACAGGACATCCGTGGGCTGGAGAGAGATCTCAAAGCCAAAACTGCACCCCTGAAACTGGCCCACACCCGACTGGAAACCAGAACCACGCGTCCTGGAGTGGACCTGTGCCGGGACCAAGTATATCTTTCTTCCTATAGCTGTAAATGTGTTTTTTTGTGGTTTAGACCAGTGCATTTAAAGCCTTCTGCTTCGCAGTGGCACAATTATACTCACTGAAAACTAATGGTACCTGCTTTCGCAAGCAGAAAATTGCTCAAAAGAGGAAATCTGGCTTATTTAGGCTATACCTTGCTTCTGTAAGGCAAATGTAATATCTATTAGTTTTTTAACAGTCAATTAGTTGTTTTACTAATGAGGTGGCTTATAAGAGTTTCATGATGGTTTTGCCATTATTTTAGTGTACATAACAGGGATACCACAATGTAAACACTCTTCAGAAACATATGTCTTGGTATTCCCATGGCTCAGAGTAGTCCAGCACAGTGAAGACATGGTAAAAGGGTAAACAGTCAAACTATATGATATTCAGTTGAGAAATCTTATACTTACAAATGTGTTGAATCAAATGAAGAACAGAGGCCAGGCACTGCACAATCTGTGAACACAGAAGAACTGCACTTGTACTGGCTGCGATCCTTACCTGTGATAACACAATTATGAGTGTTGTGGATGCTATTAGGATGATGCTCCCATAAGAAGGTTTGAATCAACCAAAGTTCATATAAAAAAAAAACTTTAGTGCACTCTTCAGATATACAAGATATGTAATTAAGGCATCTTACATTATATTCTTGGGATATGGACATTTTTAAAGATGGATATTAATTAGATTCTGGTTTATTTCTTCTACAAAGGGATATTGCTACAGCGTGCCACTGGTGGTAGACAGGTGGGCATCACTTCGAACATTCGTTTACTGTATGTACTGAGGTTAATTTTTATCTTTCAGTTTTAACCCATTAACTATTTGTAATGATGACATTAAGGCAATATATTACTGAAAACATGCCCATCCAGTTTGGCCAGACGTGGTTGAGGGTCACCCAGGGGCTTCAGACTGACCGACTGCTGTGTCCCCAGGTCCAGTATGGGCTGGTGGATGAGGTCACACAGCTGGAAGCCACCATTACGGCCTTGAAGCAGAAACTGGCCCAGTCTCAGTGAGTCCCTCTCCTCTGCCTCATTAACAATGTGTCCTTTCTCCCTTTCTACCTGCTGTTCTGTCCCACGTAGGCCTTTTGGTTGCTGGTAGATAATTGACCCAGAGATCTTATCCAGCTGTTTCCTGAAAGTAGCTATGGCATAAGCTTCAATATAGGCAGCTTGTTCTAGACCCCCACAACTCTGTGTGGAGGGCCTCCTGTTCTCTGTTGTAAATGTACTTTCACATAGTTTCCACCTGTGTTTTTATGTGTCACCGCTAATTCTAAAGACCATGGGGCTGACTTTTGTTCATGAGTAAAAAGATTCAGCTGTATCAGCCTGCCAGCATAGGACATTTTAAGCACCTTAAACATTTTGGGAGTGTATCTGGTTGCTCTTTTGTACATTGATTCAAGAGCAGCAATACAATTTTCATCCTGCCGAGAACTGTGCAACATATTACAAATGAGGTCTTACTACCCTTTTTCTCATTAGTCTCTAACATTTTATTGTACATTGATGAAATAAGATTCATTCGATTATAAATTTGTTACTGGATAGTTATACATTCAGTTTGCCTTTTATGCTGAACTTCATGAAAAACCTTCTGACATTATAAATACACTATCTTGTTGTTTGTATTCTTGACTGCTGTTAAAGGTTAAGATGCTGCAAATTAGCCTTGCAATGAACAATCCTCTAGCACTGACTACAGGCTTTTATAATAATTGCAATTGCTATTATAGCTTTTAATATTAAAAAAAAAAATCAGGGTATGCAAACATTATCATTCCAGGTCCTGTCTAAAATATTATGTAGAATTATTTATATGTATTAAATTTGTCTCAAATTTTTATCCAAGCAAGTAAACACATAGAGGACATTCTACAATTCTACATTTTCAGCTAATTACCAGGGCCACAACTTGAAAAATTTATCTTTGACGACGGGACAAAAAACTCAGTTTCTTGTGTTTTGTTTCCTGGATATTTCTGTCTGGTGAGTGGGCACATTTAGACATATATGAAATCTGATGTTTTTACTTAATGCCCAATGGGTTAGTTTGAATTTTAACCATAAACCAAGCTCCTACTGTATCCAGATATTCCAGAAATATTACAAAATGTTTGAGGGGACATCATACCAGAGGGAAATTGACCTTCTTTCTAGAGGCGATAAAGAGTTAAACAGACATTCTCCTGTATTTACAATTGTATTACTGTATATTACTACCAGACATTTTACACCATTGTTAGTGAACAGGTGTGTCAGTGACAGAAATGTTTTAACTTCCAATGCAGCCTGAGAAAATGACTTCTTCTCTGCCCATCAGACACTCCCTCCAAACACTACAAGAGCAGCTCTCCCAGATTGAGAAAGATCTGTCCTACAAGACTGAGGCTCTTGCTCTGGATAGACGCTGCTTGGAGACACGCCAGAAGCTGATTCCAAACGCTGAGACCCATTACAGAGAGAGGACCTCCGCCACAGCTTCCCAGCTGCTGCCCCAGGCCAGGAGCCACGTGCCGCAACTTGTCTGAGAGGGTCTTCGGTACCACCTGCACTAACTTAGTCTACAAGTAATAAAAACAATGAAACAGAATGTGATTCAGTAATCTAGTATGATATTAAAACCACTGACAGTTTTTGACATTGGAAACTTTTCTGCTTTCATGCTTTTCCTTGGTCATACAAACAATTTGTTGATCCAACATTTTTGTTTAATTATTTTCTCATATTACTTGAACTAACGCAAGGCAGGCAGTGGTGAGCATTTGTATCATACAGTGCTGGGCTCCTGGTTATGTTTTTGTGTTTGTATGATCTCTCAGTTTTCACGTGAACTTCCTCCAGGTGGGTTAATGAGCTTCTGGGTAAACTGGTTCCCAAGTGAGTGAGAACGAGTCTGTCTTTCCTGTGATTGACTGGCGTCCTGCCCATGGTGTCTTGTGCTTTGTGCCTGTATTTTGTAGTACATATAGTACTTTAGCTTTATGGGTTTGTTAAAAGGAATGTAGGATGGTAATGATGAGGAGTACCAAACTATGAAATAACTGCATTTGATACATGTAATGGATTAGCAACAACAACACTGCTCTTTACAATTTACGTTGTGGAATAATGGAACTATAATTATATGGTGATCTTTGAAACTACACAGACTGAATGCACATAAAAAGTTAAATTTCAGGAAAACCAATTTCAATAAAAAAGTGCTTAAAGAAAGAATGAAACAGGATATGAAATTTAAGTGGCAGGTACAGCAAGTTTAAACATTCTGCTTGAGTATGACAGATTTACCTCAAGAGCGAGATCAAAAGGCAAAATCAGTGGTTGGAGAAATAAGTAATAAATAAATAATCCTAAAAATGATCCAGGAAAGGAATACAATTGTAAAGAAAACAGCATTAAAAAAACTAAAAGATTTGAAGGAATATTGCACTGCATACTACAATAGTACAATGTGCCTTCACTTATGCAACAGAATAAAATAAAATGCATCTATGATTACAAGGGGAAAGTTCTACACCATGAAAAGGAAACAGCTGATGTACCAAATACGTATTTCATGCAGGGGTTTGCCAAAGAGGACAACACACAGCAGGTAGTGGAAAGGCAAAGTGCTGTATTAAATAGTATTTTTATAGATGAAGCAGAAGTGTAACAGGTCACAGAGGCACTTAAGTATATCTCACAGGTAAGATGCTGTTCTATCAGTTCTTATAAGGGAAACAGATGCTGTTTTAAGCGTTTCAACAGTCACTCAAACATGAAATAAACACTTTCTAATGTAGAGTCCATTTTTACACAGCCTAAAAATGAACTTAATCATTATTCAGCAACAGACCTGACTTACTACATGGAAATTGTATAAGCAATTAGAATAAAGAATGAAGGCAATAAACAAGAGAAGGCCATTTGGCAGTGAGTACCTCATTGCCCCGATGATCTTTTCAACCGTTTCTTGAAAGAAGCCAGAGTTCTTCAACAATGCAATTGGGTAACTTGTTCCACACTCCCACAAACCCTTGCGAAAAAGAGCATCCTGGTCTTAGTGTTATAAGAACTTCCATGTTGCTTCCATTTGTGTCAGGTTGTCAGGTTTGATTTGCATTGATGTGTGTCAAACCACAGCACACTGTGACAAAGTACACCTCAGATTTGGGAACATTTGGTAGCACTGGCAGCCCATTAAAGCTCAGCAGGTGTGAGTTTAGACAGTACCTGGATGGGAGTCTCCTGGGAAAAACTAAGGCTGCTGCTGGAAGAGGTGTTAATTGGGCCAACAGGGGGCCTGTGGTCTGTGTGAGTCCTAATGCACCATTATAGTGACGGGGACACTATACTGTAAGGCGCTGTCATTCGGATGAAACGTAAAACCAAGGTCCTGACTGTCTGTGGTCATTAAAAATCTCAGGGTGTTTTTTTAAAAAGAGTAGGGATGTAACCCTGGTGTCCTGTCTACATTTCCCATTGGCCCTTACCAATCATGGCCTCCTAATTATCCCCATCTCTGAACTGGCTTCATCACTCTACTCTCCTCCCCACTGAGAGCTGGTGTGTGGAGAGCATACTGGTACATCTTAGCTGCCGGCACATCATCCAGGTGGGGCTGCACACTGGTGGTGCTGGAGGGGATCCCCATGACCTGTAAAACACTTTGAATGGAGTGTTCAGAAAAATGCTATATAAGTGTTATTATTATTAGGGTTCAAGTTGGAGGTAATTTGCTAGAGCCTAGATACTGTTTTAAGCTTTTGTTTTTCCTGTATGCAGATATTAGATTGTGATTTTGAAGTATGTTTGCATTGTTAAAAATCTAAGAAGAATATTTGCTGCTGTATTAAAATGTTAGTATATAGTGATTAAGGGTATGATCTGTTTATTGTCTCTTGGCTTATGGTCCAGAAAGTTTCTCAGTACTGTCCTGAGGAAACTGTATGTGTATCCTCTGTTTGAGTCTTCAAATTGTTTTTTGCTTTCTTAAAAATCTAACTTCTATGTGTATATTCCATCATTCAAATTCAAGTGTGTGTGTGTGTGTGTGTGTGTGTGTGTGTGTGTGTGTGTGTGTGTGTGTGTGTGTGTGTGTGTGTGTGTGTGTGTGTTTGTCTATTTCCTTGAATAAGAGTTGTTGACTGTGGGAATGTGGGTCCATTGAAGGTTGTGGTATCTAAGAAATCTATGCTTTCATTGTGTGTGGTATATTTAACTGTTATTGAGGGGTGATGTGTATTCAGTGTCTCTATAAATCTTTTGAACTTTTCCAGGTATCTGAAATAGTGCTTGGGTTAGTTTGGACATTTCTGGAAAGAAATGGTTTTCCTGTCTGTCTTGATTTTTGCATAGGATGGGGCAAATGTCTTGACCGTGGCTGTTCCTTATGCCTTTAGAAAGTGTCTGCGCCTGACTTCCAGCAGTTGCAGTAGTTCAACATTCAATTCAATTCGATTCAATTCCATTCCATTCAATTCAATATTATTTTTATATAGCGGCTTTCACAACAAGGTTGCCCCAAGGTGCTTAATAATGCAGGTAACCATACATTTTGTCAATACAGAACAGAAAAGACCAGAAGACAGCAGAAGAGAGGAACCAAAAACTCCTTAGTAAGGAGAAAAAAAAACTCTAGGTGTCCAAGTTCAACTGGCTGCCCAACCCCTTTGGGCATGCTAACATTATACAATTGAAAAAAGGAAATAAATGAATGAGGGTATTAATCTATCCATCCATCATGTCTTCTGTATATCAGTACTCCATGCAGATCTTTGTAGCCCAGCTAAATCCTCCTAAACAATAGCTATATACACAATGTCCCTCTTGGATCCATGGCAGTGATGCAGCATCCAACTCTGGACATGTGGGGAGGAGAATAGGATAGTTTGGTCAGAACAGATGTATCTACTTGGTGGGCCAGCATAGAGCCACACAATGGCATGTACAGCAGCACCAGCAGCCATGGCTGCAGCAGGCTATATTGTAAGGTCTGAGAAGACTAGGCTGAAGTAATAGGTTTTCAGTCTGGATTTGAATACTGAGATTGACTCAGCATCCTAAATATGGGGTGAGAGACTGTTCCATAAGCTAGGGGCCCTGTAACTAAAGGCTTTACCGCAAACTGTTATTTTATTAATGTGTGGAATATGAAGAAAACCTGCATTCTGTGATCTAAGTGGGTGACTTGGATGGTATACATTAATAAGTTCCATTAGACAGACTGGTGCCTGACCTCTGAGAGCCTTGTAAGTAAGTAGGATTTTGAAGTCTGCCCTGTACCTGAAAGAAAGCCAATGAAGAAATCTAAGTATGGGGGTTATGTGGTCGTACTTTCTGCTTCTAGTAACAATTCTAGCTGCTGCATTCTGAATTAGCTGTAAGGTGTTGAAAGAGTGGTGGGTGCTCCCTGATAGTAGGGCATTGCAGTAGTCTAACCTGCTGTATACAAGAGCATGTATTAATTTCTCCGTGTCTTGAGTGGAGAGAAACTGCCGTAGTTTTGCAATATTTCTTAACAGTAGGAAGCATATTTTTGATAATGTTTTAACGTGAGAGATAAATGAGAGCCTTGTGTCTAATATGATGCCTAAGTTACGTACTGAGTCTTGGAGGAAATTGTTTTAATCCTCTGAAGTTATAGTAGTCCTGTCAGTATTGTTGCCTCCAAACAACAGAACCTCAGTTTTAGTTGAGTAACAAAACTTTTTCACACGTCTTTACTTCAGTAAATCAGTTAAGGACGTTTCCACATAAGCCAACCTCAAACTCAAGCCTGTGTAACAAAACAGAGTGGTCAATCGTGTCAAAGGCAGTAATAAGATCTAGAAGCACAGGCACTGTTGCATTCCCTGCATCAGTAGCTAACAGAATATCATTTATGACTGTTGTTAATGTTATGATGTGTCTTTCGGGACGCTATGCAAAAATGGAAATGCAGAGTGGGAAACAATCAAGACCATGGATAGAAGCACTTGCATTTTAATGAGTTTCAATCATGCTTGGGTACTCGTGTGATCTGAGTGACTCAGTTTTGGAATACAACTGCCGCGCGGTGCATCGCGACAACCAGGCACCCCGGAGATTCTGAAAAAATTTTTTCAGCTATGTTCACGAAACCACTTTTCTTCACCTTGACTTGGGCTAAAATTCCAACCCTGAAAATAACAATTCTCTAAGTACTGTGTAAATGCTGATCCTTACCCTACCTGGGGTGTCCACTGAGCATTTCCGCGAACTCTATCTGAAGTTCTATGGGCATAGGATTTTATGGAAGCCCGTTTCCGCTAGGGAGTAAAAAAAAACGCGCTATGGTATCTCAGAATTCCGACTTAGTATCTCAGAATTGCGACTTATCAACTCAGAATTCCGACTTAGTATCTCAGAATTCCGACTTAGTATCTCAGAATTGCGACTTATCAACTCAGAATTCCGACTTAGTATCTCAGAATTCCGACTTAGTATCTCAGAATTGCGATTTAGTAAGTCAGAATTCCGACTTAGTATCTCAGAATTGTGACTTAGCAACTCAGAATTCCGACTTAGTAACTCAGAATTCCGACTTTATATCTCACATTTGCGACTTCGAAATAGCCATATTTCATTGTCTGTCCTTTTGTTATTGTAACGGATTCGGGTTCTAGGGCTTGTGCCCTCGCCGCTCCCACCCTAGTTCTTGTCTCGCTGCACTGGCTCACTTTCTTTAAGAACACTTTCTTTAACCCCGGCGGGCAGCATCCCTGTTATGCGCAGGGGAGGGTGTATGTCGGCCGTTCCGTTATACTATTTTCATGAATTGTACAGGATCATAGGACCTATAAGCCTGAAGACTAGTCCTGTACAGTGCCCTGATAAAAATCAAATTAATTACACTAATTTTTATAGAATCCCATTTCCGCC